TATTAAATACATAAATTATGTAAAATAACGCTTTTTTTATGTACAGAATATTCCAGTTAAACAGCTTATAGAATCCTTGAATATACTTATAACACCTGTAAACTATTTTTATTATTATTTTTATTTTTTATAAAAGTATAAAAGTAAAAAAGTTCCGCGATACTAATTTGACAAATTTTTTCCTAGCTGCTCCTAGTAATATTAGAACTTTGGATGCACTTTCTTAGGGAAGAAATGTTTTATTTTATTTTATTTTAAGAAACTTTTATTTTCAAAGACAGTAACAACTCGAATACAAAATTAAGGCCCCATTTTAAAAGACGACACACGTATAAAGAATTTTTTTGAACGAATGATCGAATTTCATTAGAAGTGCTATGATTTTATATTTTTTGAGACTTCTGGTACTTTACAATTCTATTTAATAAAAAATGAATTTTAATCTATATGTAATAAATCATTATTTTAATATTTTGATCTTGTTTTCATTAAATTGTATTAATTTTATATTATCGGGCATTGATTAATTATTAATCGGAAAGAGTATTTCGTGTTCATATTGTTAAAATCTGTTGTGCAGTGCGTAAAATAAAAAACGGACTACCCTGAATTAATTTTGATCGGATCTTCGCGTTCTACGACTCAATGGTTCGAAGGGGTGACTTCTAATATATTAATTAATTAATGCAGACGATATTTTAAGTTACGAAATAAGTATCAATCACGTTCTTTCTCTGAATTAGTTTTACCTTTTATATCTTTTTTACGATGGATTCGAATTTTTGACTCCCAAAATATAAAGGGTAGCCGTAAGCTGGGAAATTTACTACCAATAGTTCGGTCAGGAGAGCGATCCGAAGTTTGGACTCCTTAATGTTAATTTTACTTTTTGCGTATTTCACTATATTTCGGGAACTTTTTTTGTGTCTGATTTCATAGCTTAAAATATCGTCTGCACTAATTAATTAGCCTATTTGAGGTCACCCTCTCGAACCATTAAGATTGAGTTCTTGAGCGAGAAGATCCGATCATTAGATCAAAAGTTATTCAGGGTGGTCCATTTTTTATTTTGCGCACTGTTCATTATACTTTATTATTCATACAAAAGAAAGAATGTAATTTTATTATTCATATAAAATTGTTTAGAAAATAATTAACTTAGTCGAATAAAAAAATTGCTCTTTCCGGAAGTTTCATTTTAAATTTTCAGGTAGCGACGAAATTAAACCCTGTCCCATTTTGTTACGTCACGTCGCTGGTATAGATCTTCAATCATGGGTTGGTGACTGCTGACTGCAATGTGAGAGTCAAGCAGACCGGTAAAGTTTATTCCAACGATTTAAGGGAAATAGGCAGAGAAATATTAAACGAAAGGGAAAAATTGCTAAATGAAAGGTGTTCATATTTCGCATGCTTTAGCTTTTGACCATCTATGAAAAAGTGAACTCTTCCTTTGAGCTTTCCCGCCAATAAAACAAGATTTCTTATTTTTTTTATGAAAAAAATCTAATGTAAATCATGTTTTCGAAAATTACATTACTTTTTTATTTAAGATCATCATAAGAGCACTTTATAAGAATTTTTAGGACATCAAAGTCTTAACCCTGCTAATAATTTTTGGGGTTTTCAAATGTAATATTTAGAGCCCGGATTTTGATGACCTAAAAAATCTTAACTAATGCCCTTAAAAAGTGCAAAAAATGTTCTTAAAAATGCGAAAATTGCGCTAAAAATGCCTTATNAAGATGGCGTAGTTTATTTTAAACAGGCAAAATATATACAGCAAGTAAACACTATCTGTTTGGAAAAAAAAAAAAAGTAACAGTATCTGTCTTTAAAAATCTATTTTTATGAATGCTTATAGTGCAACATCATCTAAGAATGTAAACATTATTTCCTTATCTCTGTATAATGGAATTCAAAAATTTTATTAGAATAATTATTATTAAAATCCTCAAGACTTTCCTGAAAGTAATGACAAACTTTATTTTTATTTATTTTCGCTCAGTTTACAAGTCCCATGTGGTCTAGTGGTTAGGATTCCTGGCTTTCACCCAGGCGGCCCGGGTTCGATTCCCGGCATGGGAAGATAGGTTCCATGGTGTAATGGTTAGCACTCTGGACTCTGAATCCAGCGATCCGAGTTCAAATCTCGGTGGAACCTAGTTTTTGAAAATTCTTTTTGCAGCATATTGAAATAAATTTAATTAATAACATAACTGTTAAGAAAGCATTAGCATTTCATTGTAAGCATGTAATACCGTATAAAAGGGATTTCTTTCGTATTTTTTTAAAAGAAATTATTAAGCCAAATATTCAAGTCATATCGAACAAACTTCTTTTAATATTCGACTTTATTTAAAATAATTTTTTTCTAAATTTAAAAAGTGATTAAAAAAGCTTTCAGTGTGCCATAAATTTTCATATAAATCGCTATAACTTAAATATTTAGAAAGTACTATATTATTGTGCTTAGAATTTTTTCGATGAGGAAGTTCAATGTTTTGGACAACCCCGCATCTCCGTACGGGAGGTGATAAAATTGGAGAAATTTTTTTAAATTATGCAATTTATATTNTATTTAAAATAATATTTTTCTAAATTTAAAAAGTGATTAAAAAAGCTTTCCGTGTGCCATAAATTTTCATATAAATTGCTATAACTTAAATATTTAGAAAGTACTATATTATTGTGCTTAGAATTTTTTCGATAAGGAAGTTCAATGTTTTGGACAACCCCGCATCTCCGTAAGGGAGGTGATAAAATTGGAGAAATTTTTTTAAATTATGCAATTTATATTAAAAAAAAATATTCTCAGAAATGAGTGCAATATTAGAAATATGCAAGGAATGTCATGTAACGAAACTAAATTGTTTTAAACGGGTAAGAACTCATCGTTAATTGGCTCCACCATTTTGTTGTTTAAGATTTTAATTGATAAATGAAAGTTAAAAACCAAGTTGAAATTCTAAATTGAAGGAATTTATTTTTAAAATCTTGGCATACTAAGACTATAATTCTTTGGCTAAGTATGAAATCTTCATAAACTAAGTTATAAGATGGCGCCATCTATATGGAGATAATGTAACAAGTTACAAAAACTCTCAATTGTTAATCGAAAATTGTTCTTTTAAATATTTTGATAACTTATAAAAGTGAGGAAAGTATTTATTTTTTATCAATTTGCCTTCTTTTGAACTTGTTACACATGTTCACTTGTTTGAACATGTGCAGAACTACAATTTTTTTTACAGATTAGTTATTATACTTAGGTCTACACCTGTGTTAAATTGTTTTAATTAGTGTTTCATAAATTTTATAACAAAATTGGCCAATTTTTTTTAAAAAAATTGTGAGCATCTATTTGCTTAGATATAAGAATAAATCTTACAACAACTGCAAACCATTCTGAATAAAAAGAATGATTTATAAATATGAGTATTTAAATAACATAATAATTATGCTAAAATGTTTTGAAGATTTTTTTATAAAAATGCAAGCATTATTTTGCCTATGTATATATATTACTATTTTAGCTCTTAACTTATAGTCGCTTTAAAAAATATTTGAATTCATAAAAAATACATAAAAGTTATCAAAAAATGGAATACAGCAGGGAATAATATCATTTATGTTTTTTTTTTACATATTTTTAAATTAAAAAAAAAAATATTATATGTAAGAGACCTTTTTTAAAATGTTTTGTAAAATATGGACATTTAAAATTATTTTAAAGTGCCATTTTTTATTTTTTATAATATCAATGTAAGAAAAATGGCAATTACTTACAGTTAAGGCCTTTTGAACGAAATATTTGTAAATTTTTTTTTCGTAAATATTTTTACATTTTCCTGTTAGGAAATTCTTGTAAATGTTTACAAACATTAAAAAATTAATTTTCCACTGTGAATATAGTGTTTTTCTTTGTATATGGATATAAACAAATGAGTTTCTTTCTTTTTAAATTTTGGAGCAAAATAACGATTAAAAAGTTTTGTAACAACAAACGAAAATTGGAGTTTCATTCTTTCCTTGGAGTGATGGTCAAAATATTTTTGCACTACTAAAAATTTTCAAGCAAAAAAAAAAAAAATAAATAAAAAAAAATATCTGAGATTTGAATTTGATTGTTTAGAATTTTTTTTTTTCTGAGTATTAACCTCCCTCCCTCAATATATAGATACTTATAGAACTTAGACGAATAGAAAAAATATTCAATATCAAATATTTTTGACCTTGCTTAGACCTTTTCCTAAAATTTTAAGATTATCTCTCCAGCTACAGACGTTTAATTTATAGGAATTAGATCACATGCAAATTAATATATATATATATATAAACTCAGCAGCGCGACAGCCCATAGAGGGCCAAGGCCTACTGTGCCCATCTCAGTTTTCTTGACCTTTGGGGTGCAGGAGCAGATGTTCCGGTTAGGTGGTCAGCCGAACGCGAAACCCCCAGTGTTTAGTTCCCAAGCATGCTTGGTACTCATTTATCGACCCACTGAAGGGATGAAAGGCTGAGTCAACCTTGCCTGGCCCGAGGATCGACCAAGGACCTGTGGCACGACAGCGCGAAGCGCTACAGCTCAGCCACCGGGCGTCATATATATATATATATACATACACATTTATGCTAATGTTGTTCAAGAGTTTTAAGGAAATTATTTCTTCATACATTTAACAAATTTATTTTAAAATTAATTGTGATTATTATTTAAACAATATATGTAAACTTATTTTTTCCAGTAAAGAAAGTTACTTACTTTTTTTAAAAAAAAATTACATACTTTTAAAAAAAAAATTATGAATATAATTTCAATATCAAAGAAGAAATGCTTTAAAAAATTGTTGTTTAGATAATTATAGTATCAAAATAATTTTAACGTATACGAAATGACTTGAATTAAAAACATGAACACATTTTTAGTAAAATCTCTATGAAAAATTTATACTTATTTGTTTTCATAAAAAATAACCTTACTGAAAGAACACAGAATCTAAATTCTACAAATAACTTTTATTATAACCTGTACAAAAAATTTAGTAACAACAAAAATTCAAATTCAATAGCGAATACATGGAATTACATCAACATCAAATAAAAGTCAATTTTCAGATCATGAATATTTGATAATTTTTATATAATAAAGTAAATAAATATAGTAAAACACTGAAATAAAACATCAATTATGGTACAAAATTTGATTTTGAAGTAGATCACAATAAGAAAAAATATATCAAATGTATCAAAACAAGCAACACAACAGAGTAAGAACTACTTTCTAAAATAAAATTTTAGTTTCAATAATGATACGAAATCAGGTGAAAAAGAAATTTTTAACCAATAATTGCACATAAAAGGCAAGATTAAGATTGTAATGTAAAACTACCCAATACCTGATGATAAAACCACTGGTATGATAATATAAAATAGCTGAATATCACAACAGTGTCTATTAAAAATACAGTAAAAATCACAGTTAGTAAATTATAAAAACAAATTTAAACACTTTGTTTTTCCTAATTTACTCATAGTAAACTAAAACAGTGTTACAAAACAAAAGATAAGTTTGGTTAAAAGAATTTTAAAAGTAAAATTGAAGTTTGATTAAGATGCAAAAATTCTGCAAAGGTGTTAGTAGAGGTTTTTATCAATATTTGTATTATTTGGTGGTAAGAAAGTTATAAATGTGAACTATCAACACTAATGCTAGGCAATATTCGAACATTAATAGTGCAATATACTGTGAAAAAATATTAAGATTTTACAAAATTTATTTAATTTAAACAGTTTACATATATCCAATGCACAAATGAGATTTAGTAGAGTGATATTGTTTTTCATAATAGTAAAGCATTCTCACAATGGTTAGTTATGGGTCATGGGCACGGAGGTTAAAGCTTCCTAAAACTACAACATGAACGATGACATGATTGACAATTACGACATGATTGTGGCCAGCATTGTGCACAATGCTGTCCTTACTTCAAAGATAAGCTGTACACATCAATCTAAAGCTTAGAGATCTTCAAACCGCCACTGAAAGTAGAACCCCAAATCTTGATAATTACAGTTTAGTTCCTTAACCACTGAGCCACCATGACTCCATTTTTAATAATACTGGCTATATTATGGTAATGGAGATTAATTGTTTATTATTATATATATAATTCATCTCAACATAATAATACATGAAAATTTTTCTTTAACATTTATCCCATTATGACCACAGTCTATTTATACTTATTATAATATTGTATATGCGAGAATACTTATTATAATATTGTAATCCAAAGTATAAAAAAATATAGATTTCACAGTATATCACTATATTACCTAGCTTTAAACAACACTAATCTAAGATTCAATGAATGATATAAAAAATATATAGTCCATTTTTTAAGACTAGGAAATGCTAACTATTAAGTCATATATAAAAAATTGTAAGAAAATAGCTGCATACCAAAAATAAAATAAGTTTAGAGCTATTCATTGGATACCCTCTATTTAATAAAAATAGTAAGCATTCATCTTTTAGTAACAAAATTGTATATAGAAAGTTAAATAATTTAAAAAGATTTTAAGAAATAACAATGTATAATAAAATAAAATGAACAAAATGCAAAGGTAATTGCAGCTACAAAAAATTTGATACAATATCCTGGAGTTCATTTTAACTTGAGATTCATTTTAGTCTCGGCTAGGAGCCGGTTGCTTTTCAACAAACTATTTTGAAGTAGAATGCATAATAATAATAAATTATAAAAATCTGCTTTCTTCAATGAAGTTTGTATGTTAATATGTTCAATAATATAGATTTTTTTATTTTTATGTTGCATCAAGAGTTGCATATTGAAATTTTCAGAAGATTTCAGTCAACTGTAAAATCATTCTGAATATAATTGAAAACAATAAATTTACTATACTACATCAAATAAAATGCTTGCAAATATTTTACACATAAACTTCACAAATAATCTAAAGAAAAAAAATTGCACATGTACTTTTTTTAAGCTAAGCTCCAAGATTTCTTTTAAACAAATAATTCAATTACATTTTGACAATTATAGCTTAAAACTAATTTAATATTAAGCTAGAACTTAAAATTGTGAAAATTTCATTCAATTACAAATTTTTTTTGTTTGAATAAAAAAAAAAATTACATTGTAGGCACGTTTTCTTTTAGACTCTTTCATAATGATTTTCTTAAAATAAATAATTAAATTGCATTTTAAAAATTTTAGATTGATAATTAGTAAATTAATTTTTTCTGAGATTGCTTATAGGCACTCAGTCTTACATTTAAAAACTGATAAAAAAAATAAAGTCTTGAATTAAATAGCATGCGTGTAAAGGTTTTCTTACACTTATTTTGGAACGGTTTAAGTAAAAGGAATAATTTCTTTTTGAGTATTTTTTGTTCAATAGCTTTTAAATAATTAATTAAAGTTAAATTTGTTTAGAAATTTGTCTATGCAATTAACATTGAATCTGAAAATAATAACAATTAAACACTAAATTAAATGCAAGCAGACTTTTTGCATATACTAATCATAAAGTTTCCTGTTAATTTAATAATTTTAGTTTGAAAAGTGACAAAAAACTAATGAGAGGGTATTCTTTGAATTCTAAAATGTAACAACTACCGTGAGTAAAAAAAATACCCAAACCCAACAAAGAAGTCAAAATTGAGAAAAAAAAACAAACAAAGAAAGAAAAATAAACAATAGTAAATATAAAAGAAAAAAATCGGAGAATTCTTTGGACGAAATAAGAAATAAAACAAATCAATCCATTAGAGGACTACTTGAAAGTACATAAAATATCTCACACATGTAAAAGTTACATAATATAAACACATATAAATGGTCAATATGCAGTATAAAACATCAAAATACTGTTTGAAGGAATGTTTTTGAATCACAACCTTATTGATCTTCGGCACTAGGATCAAATTTAGCATATTGGTAGTTAACACAATCTTGAAAATTCAAATATTCCTGTAAGAATAAATATGAAAAATATGTTAAACAAATATGAAAAATATGTTATATACCATATATGAATATAAAGGCAAAATATCAAGGCATTTCCGAAATATTTTAGGAAATCACAGACAAATATTATAATCAAAATGCATGTCTAAAGGTCAAAACTAACATGATACAAGTAATGAAGCTTCTGTACTCACTATTCTTTTCCTGAAGTTTGTACAGTAATAAAATGCTATTTTTTTAAAAAAAACAAAACAAAAAAGTAGCACAGTGGGTAGTGTGGTACAGACAAACCACGAGTTGGCACTATTACTTATAATGCAAGTTTAGTAAATAAACAAAGTTCAAATGCAACTAATTTTTCAAATCTCATAGGTTTAACATACATTTTTTAATTTCATCAAAACATATTTTGCTTGAAAACTCTGCATGTTCAAAAAAATTACTTTTAATAAGAAATGAAAGAGTTTAAACAAACTCAAAAATCTTTTATAATTTCTTAGCAATTTGCATCTTGAATAAGGTATAAAAAGTTGAATATTCAAGGAAAAGATTTGTAAAAGTGATTAAGAATAATAAAATTGCTCATAAAAACAAGAATTAAGACATTTTTTAATAATTACTATGTTTAAACCATTATTTAAGATTCATATATTTTTTTTAAAATTTTGTGCAGAAGTGCAAATTGTATACTACAGCAAAATCTATCTCCAAAAAGTAGTTAAATTGCGACTACATTTTGAAAGTAGTTTATGATCACTATGAGTTAAAAAAAGTTATTGTTCACTACAGTTGCAGCAAAATAGTTGTAGCTAACTACAAAAACTGCAATTTTTTCTAACTACTGTGAATGTCATTATTTACTAAAAAAGACAAAATAAAATTACAATAAACTAAAAAAATAAAATAAAAAATAGTAAGTTTGAAGTTTAGGTTTAGCTAGAGGAGAGTTATTTTCCTCATGCTAACCTAAACAATTATAATTTTTTCATTCAGTGATGATATGAAATTTAAGTACAATTATCAAAACATTCAAAAATACATCTAAAAAAAATTATAACAATTCTGACAAAACTAGCAATTTTAAAACAAATAGATTGTTGAAATGAAGTGTGTTGAAACATAAAATAACTCAAAAATATACCTTTATGTTTAAGATCATTGTTTGCAAACTTGTAGCTAATTCCATAAATTTGGGTCTTTCTTCAGGATCTAGTTCCCAACAGTGAAGCATTAACTGGTAACTAAAAAATAAAGAGTGAAAAATTTTAATAACCTATAGTACATTAGAGCTGGCCACAAATAAATTGGATTACATGGAAATATAAGAAGCAAACAATTTTATTTCAGTTTAAATAGGATTTGAAACAAAAAAATTGACAATTGGAAATTATAATCCATATACCTAATGTTGCATTTTCTAGAATATTATTAACTCTTTTAATATGTCTATTACTTATCTCTGATTTCAAAACAGTTAAGTTGATGCTTATTTAAGTATATAAGTCCATCAGTAAATTAAGACAAGATGGTAAAAAACAATTAGAAAAAAAAAAATGTACCGACTTTCCCACAATTTTTCTAGACGGATTTTATCGGATTTCTCGGATTTTTGTAATCGATAACATAATTTTTCAGTTATACCATATTCTTATGTATAAAAAATATTACATAACACTTATACTTGTTAAAGGTAGTTGTAAATAAAAGTAGTTGTAGTTGTCAAGGTAGTTGGGTTTTTTTTTTTTTTTAAAAAACTATTACAACCAATTTATTTTTAAAAACATCAGATTTTCAAGTACTTTAAGCTCAAATAAATTGACTTTTTTGTTATTTTAGTAAAATTTCCTGACATTTCTAGAATGGTAGAAATTCTCTGTTCTGTAGCCATCTTGTGACATTTTTTAAAGATGAAAAATTACAACCATTAACAAAGCGAAAAAGAAAAAAAAAGGGAAATTCTAAGAGTGCAAATTAGTTTTAGATAAAAATATTTCACAAAGATATTTAGAACATGAGTCATTTTTAATAAAAACAATCGTGTAAATAGCACAACTGATGTCAAAAAATATTTTGTAGCAGTAATTTGAGAGTTAGGCAAAATTGAGCTAGTATTATGATTTTAGGCCTTGAAATTAATGGTGGCAGGTATGATGTTTTGATTTTCAGCTGTATATTTTCGACAGTGTTTTTGTCACAAAACAGCATATTTCAATATGACCGGGATAGCCTGGTTAATAGGGTACTGGGCTCATGTCCAAAAGTTCGTGAGTTCGATCCCCACCGACCAAAGAATCCCCATGTAGTAAACGATGACTGATGCACAATAAATCTGTCGAGTCACAAAGTCCACCATAATCGTATAACAAATCATACCTCTGGGGGTACTGATCCTGGAGTTTCCTTATCTTCTGGATTGGTTCAAAATTACAAGGCTACGAAGTTGAACATTAGTAGTCTTAAACCCAAAATTGGGCCGGCTGTTCAACGACGAATATAAAATATTGTGATATTACACACATAAAATATGATATTCTTGGGAGCTCAATTGTTCATTTTGTGAATTCGTGTTAAATGTTAGAGAAGTGAATCTTCATTCTTTATAACATAGATAATTGAATAAGTAATATAATAAATGCAATAAGTAATATAATGCTGATTACTACAAGCACAATCTATATCAGAAAATATTTAATAATGAAAAAATACTATGATGATAAAGTTTTGTTACAGAACCTAAACTTGTGAACCACTTAATACAACACTGTCCAAAACTATGAGAAATATAGTTATCAACACATTCTCTGTATTACAATATTTTATTTAAATTAGTTTCATAAATTTTTTTTTTGTTGAAAAAACTAATAGAGATATGTAAACAAACCAGTGAAATAATTGTGAACCAGTAAAATTTTTTAGTTACTGGTCCTTATAACTACCAACTAAATTTTCTTCATCTCTACTCCTGCATGTTTTACAGAATTTGTAAATTTAGTTTTAAAATTATTTAACAACCATAAAGATAATTTATTTATTTATTTACTTTTTTTTTTAAATAAAATATATATCTATCAGTCTCTATTCATTAAATTGTCATTTTAATTTTTTATTCATTTGATCCACAGAAATTCTGATACAGTACAGAACCCGTTATCCAGAAATCAGAAAACCAAAAAACCGGAACAAAATTCGATAAATTTTCCCGCAATTTAAAAAAAATTTTTTTTTTTCCTTATAAGATTTTAGGATTTTTCCTTCTTTTTTTAAAGATGTTTACCTTACCATCATTTCAAAAATAATCATTAGTGCATTACCTCATCGTTTTTTCTTATTTTTAAGATTATTTCCAAATTTTTTTTTTTTTAGTTGGGTTTAACACTAAAAAAACGGCTTTTTGTAGCGATTCAGAAAACCGGAAAAATCAGTTATCCGGATTAGCGATAGTCCCGATCGTTCCGGATAATCGGTTCTCTACTGTACTATTTATAATGAAAATATTGTTTGAACTTACAAGTCATCCATAACACCCTTAGGTTGAGGAAGTCGCATTCCTTGCATTACACGAGGCAGTACATCTCTGGATGGAAGACTAACATAAGGCGATCCTCCTATAAAAAGTCAATTCAATAACATAAAAATAAATTACAAAACTGTAACATGTATAACAGAATTATTTTATATTACGGTACTTACCCAGAGTTAAAATTTCCCACAACATCACACCAAAGGACCATCTAAAGATAAAATAATAAAAAATTATATAAATTCAAACTATATAATTAAAATATAAATTTATATTATAAATTTAAAATAATTTTTACATCAACCTTACATTTTATCTCAGATGCTAACTACTTTCAATTTTAATTAATTTCTAGAAATTTTAATTCTAACTATGGAAATGCATAAAGCCTTCAAAAACAAAATTTACTTATTTTTATAAAAAGTCCATTATTTCTGGATGAATTTTTTAAAAATAAATCTGTAATTTTTACAGTTTTTGAAAAATCTTTTAAATTTGAAGACATATATCATACATATATATTAAAATCTAATTGTAACTCTAAGTAATTAAATTTATCGAAGTTTGCTCTATTATTTTTTTTATACTGCAGAAAAATAGCTCTTCCACTATGGAAATGAATTGCAATCTAGCAGCTTTTCATTATTACAAAAAACCATTTTAAAAAGTTTTTTTTTTGGAAAGATTTTACTGAAAGGAATAATAAAAACAAACCAAGCTGGGTTGATGAGTTTTTGGACATCTCACAATAAATCAGTTGTTACATTTACTTGTTGTTACTTGTTACAGGTTACAGGCAATAACAGTCAATTAAAAAAGTCTGTAATTTAAAAATTGTGCAACACCGATGAAGAAATAGATGTCCAACAATTTATTTTCTCTAGTTGTCATGCAATCAATACTTGTCTACTCTGAGATTGTTAGGCGGTACATACTATTTTTTTACATTATTGCCTTGTTTTGTAACTTTGAACTGTTTACTGTTATTGTAATCTACCATTATAAATAAAAATTATATACTATTTCTCATTCGTATTACTTTCATAACTTAGAACATATACTACTGAATCAAAGCAGCCACAAACATGCAGAAAGAAATTCCCTGATTTTCGTAACTGATGGCATGAATTTTATTATGAGTTTTCCAACTATGCCTTATATTATAAAACACTTGGATTTGAGCTAAAAATAAAGAATTTTTTATTTAAAAAAAAAAAAAAAAACTGCAATAAAACTAATTATTATAGAAAAAATATCAGATTTTTAAGTTCTGCCAAACTTAAATTAATTTATTTTCTTTTGACTTTTTAAGAAATTTTAATTAATTTCCTGACTTTTTCTTGCTCTATGACCCCCTTGTAATTTGTCAATGCTCTTATATAGTTAAAAAAATATAATAAGCGTTTACTTAAAAATACAAAAATAAACATCAAACAATAACTGAAGAAAATTACTCTGATTTTATTAATACAAACAAAAAAGTTATGTACAAAGCGATTACAAAGTGGAACCCGATGAAGATTTTGAGTCATGTTTTTAACTGCTAGTTTTTTTTCCAATTTGTTCTTAATGTAATATTTTACTTTTACTTATTCCTTTTATATGATCGGTTTTATTACTGTTTGACTTGGTTTTGGGTCATGTTTCAACTGTAAATTTTATTCCAGTTTGTTCCTTATGTAATCTTTTACTTTTATGCATTGCTTTTACCACGCACGATATGGATGTTTTATTCACTTTTATGTATATACTGTTTTTACTCTTTTAATTATGATCTTTGCGATTTTCAATGTGCTGGCTGGATTTGGGGTTATATTTTTAACTGTTGTTCGCTTGTGTTTTATTCTTTCTCTACTTGTTGTTGATATAATTTCTGATGTTTTGTGTAAGTTTTATGTATCTACTCTCGCATGCCCTTAAATAGGGCGGGACGAGATACAAATAAACAATACCCGATGAAGATATATTTAATATTGTTATGGAAGCTGAACTTGAAAAAGTAAAGCACAAAAGAAAACTGATATATTTTATATACAATATAATTCTGAAATAACCTCAAGTATTTGAAATTTTTTCACTGTAAATTTACAGGATTCTTAAATTTTATTTAGTAATCTAACAAGATGCTGAGGAAGATAAGTATAATTGTAAAAAATTAAAATTAATAAAGATAAGTACAATAAATTTATGTTTTTAAAGAAGTTAGTTGAAGTCTTTATTTGAAGAGTGGACCAAGTCTATCATAATTTATTTTGAATACCAAGTCTTAAAATTTAACGAGTGTATTGTTTTCCTTATCTTGTCAGATTTGAGGTCGCATTACTGAGTTTAAAACTTTATGTGTATAGGTTTAGGAAGTGGAGCTAAATTCATTTTTATTAATAAGAAAAGTTGGCTCACTATTAAAATAATACCTTTAATTAGTATTAAAACAAAACAAATGTGATTTAAACAGTTTAAAAAATTAAGTTTTTTTTTGCACTAATTAAGTTTTTTTTTATTTCATAAGCAATGCTTTCCAGAGTTTATGGTTAATGATTGTAAAATAATTTTATTTATTGATTTTCAAGCAATAAGATTCCAAACACTTAGAAAAATTTTATGATCTCTTTATATTCAAATTTACATTAAAATGGTATATGTACAGAGACATATAACTTAAACAATATATTAAAAACTGATCAACTTACACATCACTTTTACTTGTGTAGGTATTCAGATTCATAACTTCTGGTGCTGTCCATTTTGTATATAATAATCGCTAAAAAAATTAAAAATTCTGATGAAATTGTTTTTTAAAAACTTGTAATATATAAAATTGACAAAGGTGAAATAAGTCAAAGAATTTGCAATGATAATATTTTACTTCTGGTCAATAACTAAATATTTACAATAATAATTTTATTGAAATTAAAATGCTATTATTATGCTATTTATAATAAAATGCTATTTATTAAGTAAAAAAACTGTTTAAAATAATTAAATTTCATGCTTTAAATATTAAGATTTTTAGTATAAGCTCAGGTAAAAAAAAATTAGCGGCAAGAATAACTAAAACTTTGGGGATAATCCATTTCATGTCCAGAAGATATTCCATGCATCTTTGTTACATTAAAAGCCTTACACTTTCTTTAAAAGACTTTTCTTATACTTCATGAAATATTATGTTATTTACTGAACAATATAATTTTTGTTTTAGGCGCATATTATGATAGAAATACTGTATCGAAGCTTATAGAACAGTTCATAAAGTTTGTTCAGTATACTTCACTACAAAATAGAATTTTCATTAACTTAAAAAATATAAAAACTATGCAATAATAAATGTATTAAAAATATGCAAATACCTGATTTACATTCGAAAAACTTTTAAAAAGTTTAAATTATAATTAGTGATTTCTTTAAATATTAAAAGTTAACATTTTACATATAACAAATAAAATATATAGTTACCTTTCCAAGAGGATTGTAATAACCAAGGCCAAAATGAGCAACTTTAGGTGTGGATCCCTCAGCTATTAGAACATTTCTTGTAGATAAATGCTTATGCAAAACCTAAATAATAATACAAAACAAATAAAAAAAATGTGAAACTAAGAACTTATATTTGATAAACAGCCAATAATACATTTAATCCAGAAATGCATAACACAGGACAGTGCCAGCAGATGACGTTTTTGTGCTCCAAGCGATACTGAAAACGGCATTCTTAAAGCTGAATTTTGAAAGAAAAGAATTTGATAATCTTAAAAAATAAATTGAATTGTTCTGCTGATGTATTTACAATGCTGTAGAAAATTGCTTTTTTTTAAAAAAATTCTATACCTTTTTTTTCTTTCATATCAAGCCAAAATTCTCATTTGGGAAACATAAGAACAACATAAATAACAATTAATGCATTCAATGCTAAAAAAGAAAAATGTTAGTTCAGTTAATGAGAATATCACTGCAAATTGTCTTTAATAAAAGAAAGAAAATAATTAAATTCTGTAACATTTAAATGTTTTATTTTTTCCTGCCCACATCAGCAATCAAGATTTCTATATTTACAGAAGTCATTTACACAAACTTTCAAAGATCATGTGGGATAAGATTCCTTCTATTTGCGCTTTAATTCTTTTTTTATTACCAAGATTACGATGTTGATGGCCTACATTTTTTAAAAATAATGTCTTTACAAAATGCCTTTAAAAACTACAAAAAATGATCTTATATAAAATAATGCCTTTAACTATTTTCTGAAACTCAAAATTTATATTAAGTTTTTTAAAAATATAAATTGTAACTTATATTTATAAATTTAATAAAAATTAATGTAATAATTAAAATAAATATGCAATTTATAAATTATATAAAATGCTAATAAATAAATCTTCAAGAATATCAGTATCATATTGTAATACCAAATATTTTTTTGATAATACTCAAATTAAAAGATTGTTTATTGTCCAAAAGAAAATTCTTTTATCTTGAAATACTCAGTTCAACATCAACACCTGTTGTTTGTGGAAATTTAAGAAAACTAAATTCAATGCAAAAATTGCATTTATTTATAAAGAAAAAGATATTGCTTACAAATAAAATGCTCTATAAAAAGGTTATGATAAATGACTTGATAAAAAGTTGAAAAAAAAAAGTAAAAAATCTAAAATACTAAAAAAATGACAAAAAAAAATATTGACCTACAAAGGAAAAAAACAAATAAATAATCAAAATATGCATCATTATCATCAACATGCTAGCCCAGTTTATTAGAATTTCAAAGATATTATACAGAATTCTGCGTACTCCAAAAAATAAATCATGCATTTAATATGGGGATATGTAAAATAATAATAAAAAAAAAACTACAAAAAAATGGGAGAAAAATTGAAAAAAAAAAGAGAAGAGAAAAGTAATTAAGCAAAAAAAAAAAATTAGCACTATAACAGGAAGCTAAAATTATTAATTAAACAAGAAAAGGACTCTCAATAGCTTAAGAACCTAGAAAAACAGAATTGATTTGATAAAGAAAAATGTTACTAAAGCTAACTTTTGAGCAGAATTTTTTTTAGTTTCTGCTAGATTCAAAATCTTTTTGTGAATTTGAATCACCCTATCAGAAGGAAAAGAAAAATATTCCTACCCCTCTATCAGCCAGATGTGCCATTCCACGAGCAACACCAGCAGCCAACTCAAGAAGTAATGGTTCCGATAAATTAGTAACTTTTCCTCCAGGTTGTTGGCGACTTCTGAGCAACATTCCCCTTAATGATGTAGGGTGATGTTCAATTGCAACATGGAGGACATCTATAGCATGAAAAATATAGTAATATTTATTTAAAGTTATTTTTTAAATTAACTTAAAAATTTGAATGATAAATGCATTTCAGAAATTCAGTTACCATTTTATGAGCATTTAATGTCTGCAAAAAACAACAATCTGTAAATTTATAGAAAAGGCCATTCATAAATGATATCAGGTTTGGAAGTTCCTGATATTGCGACAAGGGGTAGGGAAAGTTAGAAAGAAGTTTGACTTCCCACATTTTAATTAAAATAAAAAGTTTAAAATGAGCTGATTAAATATATTTATATTGCTTGTTTTATATTTTTTGCATTTAATATAGTTATGCCCACAAATGCAGCTAAAACTGAGTTAAAGCATAAAAATAAAATTTTTAAACATAATTTATAACATGTGTTTGTTTCTGAACTGTTTGCATATGTTAATATAACATAACATGACATGTAAAGGGAAAGAGAGGGATCAAAAATACTGAACAAAAAAAAAAGTGCAACATCATATATGGATGCTGAAATAATGCTTTTTTGAAAGTATTTTATAATAAAATTACACATTTAATATATTTTAGAAAGAAGTTAAAAAGATGAGCACAAAAAAAGAAAGAAAAATTTACACATAAAACAATTTTACGCAATAAAAAATATAACAAAAATATAAAAAAATTACTTTTCTAAAAACTTCAATGTATTTAAAGTGTTAAACAAACCATATAATTTATAACTATTCTTTTATTATCTATTTATTCTATTATTTCTATCTATTCTATTTTTCACATTATATAAAGAGTGAGGCCTTTTGCCTCTCATAATTGAATAACTTAATTTTTTATAATGGACAGTTTGCTAAAAGAACTCTCATCACAAGCAGTAGTAACAGGAACAGTTTTCATTAAATGACAGTTTATTAGCTAAAAGTATTTTTTTTAAACTAATAATGTTTCTGAGATTTCAATGGATTTCAAGTTAATACTACAACAAACTCAGTAAATTAGATGATTGTCTAAAATTGTCGTATGCTATAAAAAATTTCCTGAATTTCAGAATAACATAGATTTTGGAGAGGTCACAGTAACTCCTACCCTGGCACCAATGCAGAGAAAAAGCTTAAGATTATAATAAAGGAGAATAATTTCTATTATAACAAAAACTAACAATTTAAGTACAAAATCGAATTTTTTTATTAAAGCAAAAAGCAGAGATTTTGTTGAAAAAAAGTGTAAATTCATTTTAAAAGTTTAAAGTCTTCTTTATTTTTTTTTCATACAAAAAAATAAAAATAAAATGTTACTTCTCATAAACATACCTCTTTCATCACAAGCACCAAGAAATTCAACAACATTGGTATGAACTTGCACTCTGGACATAAGATCTAATTCACATAACAATTGTTTATGTTCCTTTTCCAGTAGAAGGGATGGAGCTTGAAAAAAAGTGTGTATTAAAAATAATTTAAATAATAAATTAACTTATAAAATATAAAAAAACACAAGTTCTTTTACAAGAATGAATATGATTAAGTTTTATTTAGATTCGCATCATTTTATAAAATGCACATGTCAACAAAGTGAAAAAGAAACTTTTCTCCCAGAAGGAAATAAAAGAAAAATTAAGGGTAAAAATGCAACTATTTGTTAGTTGTAATTTTCTCTTCACTGATCAATAATTTATAAATTATTAAAGAATTAAGTATAGAACTTTAAGCAAACATTGAAAATAAAATAAAAGTTACTTAAAAGTCAGTTAAATTAAGATTCATGGGAGAGTATTAATATTTTACAACTCGTGTATTGCAATAAGTAGCTGACAAGAATAAAATTTTGATTGTTTAGTTAGAAAACGAAGAAATCATTTTGGAATTTTTTTTATCTCCTAATTAACCCTTTGTACTTAAGAAGTTCAGAGAAGAATTAATTCAATGAACCTGAATTTTAAAATTTATATTTTCAGATTAGCAATTATATATAAAAAAAATAATAATAATTGAGGTTATGTAAATTTTTAATCTTTACAGTTCTTTAATTAATTACTTTAAATACTTTGAGAGCCAGCGGTTAACATAACTTATTAATAACAAATATAACATTATTTTTATAATGACATAATAAAGAAAAATTGATACAGTTTTTTTTTCATTTAATCACACCTTACAATGAATTATATTTAAATGAAACAAACATTATTTAAATATATGTGAAAAAATTTCTAAAAACAATAGTTTTTTTTTTCATTCTCTATTTAGAGATGATTGGAAAACTAAATATGTAATGTTAAATATGTTTACCTTGCATGTATTGAACAATGCAGGGAATAGCTTGTTCTCTTCTTCTAACTAATCCTTCCCTTATTTCTCCAAATTGCCCGACACCAAGCACAGTTTGATGAACATCCAAATTCGATTTAGAGATTTGAGGATATTTTTCTCTTAGACTCTCGTACACCTCACTCAGATCAGCATCATCATTTATCTGCAGCATTCCCGGTATGAAACCATTTTCATCCTATGAATGTACACATTTTAATTCAGTTTACTTTGGTATGAGACAAGGTTATTTTAAGTCAATTCTCTATCATATAGAGTTAAGCCTAAATTGTATCAAAAAGTAAATTAGTTTGAAAAGATTTTTTTTCTCATTGTTTACGAATATATATGTTATAATTCTAAATGATAGCTTTTTATAGTTATTTCTTATTTTTGATAACATTATTTAAATGAATACTAGTTGTTCTAGCATCTCTTAATTATGTTGTTTGAATATGTAGGGACCCACTAATTTATATGTTAAAACCTAATTAATAATTAACAGTAATCAAAATAAATAATTATTATAATTGTAAAGAGTAAATTTTTACACAAGGAATCATTAATATATATATATGATTCCTTATTATAATTCTCACTCAATCCTCTTTATATATATTTTTTAAAATTCTGATAGCAAAATGAATACTAGTTGTTCCAGCCTCGATTCATTGAACATGTAGGGAACACCGCATCACTAATTTACATGTTAAAACCTAATTAATAATTATTAGTAATCAGAGCATTAATTATTATTGTAAAGGGCAAACTTTAACACAAGGAATCTCAAATATTTAATGGTATAAGTCCTAAAGAGTTAGAATGTGTGTATTTTAGATAACAAAATGTTTCATTCGAGTGCTAAACTATTAGGGGTAATCATTCGATTATACAAAGAAAATTGGATCTGGATGACATTAGTTCTATAAACAGTGTATTAACGTTTATAAAAAGATTTAAACAAGGAATTAATTACTTATCACTCTATTATAGTTTTTCATTCACTATATTTATTTCATTATATAAATGAAATTATTGAATTATAACACCTAATTTGCATATGGATATCTGCTTAAAACTAAGGGTTGTAGATTTTCTTTTAATTTTAAATTTTACTGCAGTTTTAATGCATATAGAAAATATGTCTTTTTAACAACAAAACTGTTCATAAGCAATCATCATACTCTTTTGGAAAGAGCAAATAAAAAAGTATTAATTAAACAAAATTGACATCTCATGTTTTTCAAAGGTTTTAAAAAGTTTTTTTAAACTTTATTTCAGAGGCTATCTTCAGTAATTTTAGAAATTGACATTAAAAAGTAGTTAATGTAAATGAATAAAAAAAGAAATATCAATCACATTTTAGTACACTTTGTAAAATACATATTTACCTTTATTATGTTAAAAAACATACATATTAAATTGAAATAACAAGTAAAGAAAGAAATACAGCAATTTCTCCTTAGTGCAGACTCCATTTCGGACAAGGGATTCTTTGATTGGGCAGGTCTTCTGGCAAGTAAAGAAAAAAAAAGGTTCTCGTTGCTAGTCTTCACACATGCAGAATTAGCTTTTGAATCATGTGATACACAGTTTCTGATACAAAGTGTGTTTTTATTTAGTCTAACATGATGTCAATTTTGAGATAGTCCTACAAAATCAATAATTTCTAGTTTGTAGTACTTGCTATCCAAATAAATCTATTTATCCGAATAAACCTATTTAGTTTATTTATTCAATATTTTGAGGAAAAAGTTGAAATGTTTAAAATTTGATGGATATTTTCAATAGAATTTTTTAATAAAATTGATTGTTTGTTATCCCCCTCTTCCTAAATCTTTTTTTTTCGCATTATGAAGATTCTTGATGAAGTTATCATCATTAGTGAAGACAAAAGTACCACATGAGGGATAAAAATCACTAGAAAAAATTTATTGAAACCTACAATTTTTGTTATTTTGACTCAGAAATATGAGAAAGTAACTAACTAACAAAATAATAAAAACAGTATCTAAATAATCTGGTAGGTACTACACATTAAGCTTCATTTACAGTAAGACACTATTTAAAAAAACAAACAAACAAGAATTATAAAATTGCATCGATCAACCAGACATGCAATTTACATTAAGCTGAATTATTGAGAAACCACTTCATTAATTTTTATCTAAAAACAAATACTTAATTCAAATGAATCAGATTAAAAATCATACTTTTTCATGAGAATAACTCTCACTGTGTTCCGAGGACAGCTTGCAATAAGAAAAACATATAAGTTAAAATAAGATAAAAGTTTACTTTCATAAAAAATATTTATTCCAATATTTTTTTAAAAAAATACTTTAATTCTTTAACAAGTAATTCAAATCTATATATATCTAAAATTATTGCCGAGAAGAAGGATTAAAAACAGCTCTTAGGGAAAAAGAGCACAATATTTATTTAATACTTATTAGAGAGTGACATCATCTAGGTGTCACTCTCTAATAAGGTGACATGAAGATAAAGATTATAATTATATTTATCATGACACAAATTATAACAGATTCTGTTAATTTTTCATTTAGAAATATTTAAAGAATGTTTGATAACTACAGCTTCTTAAACAACATGGAATAAATGTAATGTGACATACTGCTTCTGAACCGTGAGCTCTTAAAACCATTTCATCTGACGGTCTTCTTTTACCATAATGTTTTCTGAGCAAGAAATAAACAATAACTGACACAACAAGAAGAAATCCAAAAACACCGATTGCAGCAGAAAGAATAACAGATAACTTTGAGCTTGTTGGAGCTGGAAGAAATTTTTTTATCAACTGTAAGTAAATCTTAATATTAACTGTAAGCAAAATTATAATAAAAAAAGACTAAATAGATTCTTAGCTGGTCAAATTTCATATTGAAAAAATGATTTAAAAATCTTTTCAGGGAAGTATGCTAATATCTTGATTTTTATTACAATAAGTTATGTAGATTTACAAGATGATAGCTGAATTAAGTATGAAGTTAATTATAATTTAAGTTGAAAAATCATTAAAACTAGATAAAATAAGAGTTTTCAACAGTAGAATTTCAAAATTTTTAAAAGTTTCTCCGTTCTTGCCTTCTTTCTCCTTTCATTATTATGAAGAAAAAAAAATTCTTCAGATGTTAAAAATAAAATACATATGCTGGATACTTGTTATTTGAGCTAATACAAATATTGTTGGAAAAATGTAATATAATTCCCTAAAATTGGGCACATTTACACAAAAACATCAACAAACTAAATAAAAACTATAAATTTATTTAATATTATTGCAAAAAATACCTTAATACAGATAATAAGTTTTAAAAATAAAAAAATAAGAATTTATTGAATATATATATATAGACAATTTCATGATACAGAGGGCAACATAAAAAATAAATAAATAAGTAGTTAATAGTACTCCTACATTTATAAATGTTAGTTTTTACATATTTTGTAACAATAATAAAAATTTTAATATAGTTTTTATTTGTAACAACAGCCTAATAGATACTAACATCAGTCACAAGAGCTTTTTCTCCATTTGCCACTTTTCATAAGTAATTTTACGTGTACATTGAATGTTTTCTGTTAATTTGAAATTTTTTTAAATAAATTTAAAAAAAAAATCTCATTATTGCTTATTGAAGAAGGAGAATATAAAAAAATTATGATGTTTTACATCATATCCTTCCTTCATAACACCAGTCACACTTTTTATTTTTATTCTAATAATTAGTATTTTTATTCTAAATAAACATTTATAATTTCATCTTTTTTTTCTTTCTTACATGCACAATAGTATTTGACTATTGAAAAACATTCAATATAATTAAAAAACAAAAAAACAAAAATTAAATTATTAAATATTTATTATTACTGTGGCATAGTCCATAGATATAGATACTTCTTGATGATATTTAATTTTTTTCCTTTTGTAAATTTTTTAATTAAACTTATAAATCAGTAAATCTTGCTTAATTTTCTTCAGAATGAAAATTTGAGTTAAACAGTGCACACAATCTTAAACTATATTTTCGTTATTTAATCCTAAAAGTTAAAAAGTAATTTTATAAATAGATAATTTGCATACAGTGCAAGTATGTTTTATTTATGAATACATGACAAGACTAACCAATCAATTAACTAACAGCTCTTAAGGTAGCAAAATCAAGTATTTTAAAACTCCTAAAAACTAAGAATACAATAAGAACAATAAAGTTAAATAATAATAATAAATATTCAAAGCAATTTACCCTTAAAAACATCATCTTCTTCTTCACTTTCAATACTAGACTGTAAAGGCGAATAGGTTATTTTTGTAACCTATTAAAAATAATTAACACAATTAGTAGTTTTAAAGATGCATAAGCTAGAAAAAAATATTTTAATCATTAAAATAAATAGAAAAATAATTAAATGCATTATTTTACCCCATTTAGAGAGCTGACTACTCCAATAAGTATCTCATAATCTCGATCTTCTGACAATGGTGCATTGTAATATCCGTTATACATTCTCTTGTCTCCAACTATAAAAGATCGATTTGCATGCTCAGGAAGTAGATCAGCTGTGATATAAAATGGAAGACCAGTTTCTAGTGACAAGGAATAGTTGCCAACTTCTTCTGGATTAAAAAATATTAGAGAATGTTTCTCTAATGTCACAACATAATAACCCCTGAAAAATGATCAAAGCAATGAAATTACAAATGATGTGAAATCAAATTTAACTAATATATAAAATAACTAACAAAAATTTCTCCTTAAATTAAAGTAAATAGATAGCAAATGATGTTCATCAACTGATTACAATTAAGTAGTTCATTTTAATCCAACTTATGTAATGAAACTTTGAAAACTATAATGTTTATTGCAAAACACAAGACAGGTTCTTAAGGGGAGGCTATACTGTGTGGGAGAAACTCTTTACGGCAAATTCTCCTTCAGTCATATTAAGAAAAAGAAAAAAATGAGTTCAGATGAGGAAGTTTCACTGTTATGCAGAAAGGAAAGTAATGGGATACCTGCATGCAATGTAGTGAGGGTATCTCGATCCTGATTGGTTGTTAAAATGTGGCATTTTTTTTACGTTAGCAACTGTTCTTCATATTCTATTTCAAGTAAACCAAGATCGTCAAATATCAATTCTCTTAGGTAATACATCCAATATTCTTTCACAATGATTTTTTTACCATATATTTCTTACTTAACAAAGAAAGGTACAAAACCATGTTGAACATAAACAAACTAATTAAGCATCAATGTTGCCAGATACACAAAACAAAAATATATTACAGTTACAATAAAATATAAAAGCAAATAATAAATCTAAGTTAAGTAAAAGACATAGACAACAATGAATGATAGATCAGTTATTTTGATGTATGATACGGCACTGTATTTAATTAACTTCACGTTAATTAACCTTCTAACCTATGCGGAGAAACTTGGCTGAATTTTAATATGCCATTTTGCTTATAAACAATCAGCTGGTGCTGACAACATTGGTGACATGTGTGGGTATCCATGATCATCTTAAAGTGCAAATACCAAATAATCCTTTAATTTGTTTGCGAAAAAAAAAGCATTAGTGAAGCATTTTAAGTTATACTATTAATATTATTATTAATTATTATTATATTATTAATGTATATGAAAGAGAATTTACAATGAAGGGCTTCTTCTGCCGTATCCTTTTCAAGCAAAGCAATATCCCTAAATAAAGAGAATAGTTATCAGGGTGATAATGAAAGAGACAAAAAGTGAAACATGATTCAGATTACAATTACCATTAAGAAATTTCAAATGCTTGCTGGTGGCAAAAATTCGAGATCTTTTTTCTGCCTAAAAGGTTGGGGATCCCATTTAATTTTAAAATGCGGAAATTATTGAAATTTGCTGACAATGTATTGATTTATGAATGTCACAGGAAGAATATTTGAATTAACTTACGTTATAGGGCCTTTATTGCTGACACCTTCAGGTATGTGAATGGAAAGAGTTTCTCCTTTTCTCTCAATAATGTCAACTGGGGAAGGTTCATCAGGTTCTGATTAACACAAAGAAATATTAATCTGATTAACACAAAGTAATATTATAAAACTATATTTTAGCTTCAGTTAAGCTGTTTAGAATACAACGTTAGATTATAAAGCAAATATGTCTCCAGAATTGGAAGGTTTTAAGTCAAATTTTAAAACCAAATTAAACTGAACAGAATACAAATACCCAGGTCAGTCTCAGATAATAGGAAATGATGGTGTAAAAATAAATAAAAATTTTAAAGTTTTAATTTATGATTTTTTTTAAATGTTAGTATATATGCCTACAATCATGAAAAAAATTACCAGCAAAGAATTTATTTCTGCTTTTGCTTAATATTAGGTGATGCTTATGTGACAACTTTTGTCACATAGTAACAACTTTACAACACATAGTAACAAAGTAACAACTTTTTCTAATAAAGTATTTTTATAATACATAGAAAGTTTGAAGACAGTTACATGTAACATGTTTTATTTAACATTTTATTTTTATATTCAGTCACATTCTCTTATGTCATTTTTATATTCTATCACATTCTCTTATGTCATTTTTATATTCTGTCACATTCTCTTATGTCATTTTTATATTCTGTCTCATTCTCTTACGTCATTTTTATATTCTGTCACATTCTCTTATGTCATTTTTATATTCTGTCATTTTTATATTCTGTTATGTTTTCTTACCTCCCACTTCAGTCCAAACCATTTTGGTAGAGGGATCAGAGTGACCATCACTGGTCACTGCCCAGACACTGATATTGTACATCGTTCCTGGATGAAGACCCAGCAAATCAGAGCTATGAGTTGTATTATAAAAAGTCCACTCATTTCGGTTGAGTGCATCCATTTGGCTATAAGATTTAACTGGATAAGCAGAAACCTAATAAAACAAGTTTTTTAGGAGTTGGATTTCAATTGAAAAATTCTTAAATAAGAGACAGGCAACAAACAAATGTTCATAACATTAAACAAATAAATAAATAAAAAAAAAAAAGTGCAGTGTAGTGCTTAACAAAAATTTTTTTTACAAAGATATAATGCATTTCATATACAGTAGGGAACCGATTATCCGGAACGATCGGGACCATCACTATTCCGGATAACTGATTTTTCCGGTTTTCTGAATCGCTACAAAAAGCCGTTTNAATTTTTATTATTTTTTATAATTTTTTACTAGTACACAGGCTTCCAAACAATGAAGAAAATCTCTAGGATATTAACAGGTGGAGCAACATCTGTTCAAATTGAGGAAGAATTGTCTGTAAGTGTGACTGTCCTTTTCAAGTATGCACCATTAACATCAGTAGACGTTGAAAGAAGCTTCTCCTGGTATAAAAATTTGTTTTCAGACAAGAGACGCTCGTTTACATTTCAAAATATTNTAAAAAAAGAAAGAAAAATCGTAAAATCTAATGAGGAAATTTTTTTTTTTTAAAAAATGGCGAGAAAATTTATCGAATTTTGTTCCGGTTTTTTGGTTTTCCGGTTTTCTGATTTCCGGATAACGGGTTCTGTACTGTATATGTAAGTTTATGAAATCGTTACGTTTAG